CCCCGCCCCCTGGAGGCCCCGCCCTCACCCCGCCTCCTGCGAGCCTCGTTCTGACTGGCCCTGCCCAGCCGCCGCCCTCGTCGGGCCCCGCCCGCTGGAGACCACGCCCAATCCCTTTCCGATTGGCCCAGCGCCTTTCTGGTCCCGCCCACTTGAGCACGCCAGAGGGCCACGCCCCTTATGGCCGCCCAGGCCCCGGCCTCGTCCCTCATCCAACCCCCACCCCTGGCTCCCGGCTCTGCCCTCTGCCGGCCTCGCCCCTCGGGGCCAGCTCTCCGCCCCCGGCTCCTGCTCACAAGGCTCGTAGTAGTCGTAGACGGTGACCAGGGCGGCCTGCAGGAACTCGGCGTGCAGCATTCTGTGGACGCGGAAGCCCAGCACCGTGTCCTCCTCATGCGAGAGCTGGAGGGAGCGGAGTCCCGCCTGAGCCGGCCACGGCCGCTGACCTGGGGCGCTGACCTCTGGCACTGACCACAGACCTTGGCCGCTGGCGTCGGCCGTGACCACCCACCGTGCGGCCTTGACTGCAGGTGTCCCCACCAGAGGTGCTGGCCTCAGGGGGCACGGGCCTCTGCAAACACCACCCAAGGGACCGGCTGCGGGTTCTCCAGCCCTGGGCTGCCCACAGGCCCCTGGTGGAGGGCACCCGGCCTTCCTCACCTTCTCCAGGTAGAGGACAACCGTGCTGTCGCTGGAGCTTGTCTTGGTCTCGTACTGGAAGGCGTACATCTCCACGTCGCTCGTGAGCTGGGCAGAGGGTGGGACTGGGGGTCTGCAGAGAGCCCCTGAGGCCCCAGGCCTGGGGGTTCCAGTCAGTGTGGACTGACTCCCAGAGCTCCCAGGCTCTGTCCGCTCAGCCCCACTGTTGGGGAAACTGAGACCATGCAGGGTGTCAACCAGAAGTGACCATGGGGCATTAACCTGGGGCCTCGACCTTGGGAGATGCTGCCTTGCACCTGTGTGGGGAGTGCAGGATGTGGTGCAGGAGCGGGCAGGTGGGGTCTGCATTACCTGCTTAAGGTCATCCTGGTTGGGGTAGAAGCCGGTGAGCAGGGAGACCTCCAAGATGGTCATTGTGGCCTCTCGGCTGCCCTGGAACCTGGGGATTACACAGCTGCTGTCTCTCTTCCCACTGTCTTCCTGCCTCCCCCATGCTCCCCTCTGCCATCATCACTTGCTGCCTGGACGAGTGCAGTAGCCTTCTCCCAGGTCTCTTGTCCTCACTCTGCCCACAGAGCTTTAGTGAGCAGAAATCTGATATGTCGCCTGTTCCCACCGCAGCCTCCACTGGATTGCTCTTAGCCTCGTTCCCTCTCCTGCCTTTGCACATGCTGTTTTCTCAGCCTGGGTACCTTGCTCCTCTCACTTCATCCTGAACGCCCCCCCATCTTTTCCATCTCAACAACGCCTCACTCCCTCTGGAAAGCCTTCTCCAGCCTGCACACCAGATCATCCTCTGATTTGCCTCCCATGGCTCTGTGGACCTCTGATTTGCCATTTTATGCCCATTCTGGGAGATCATTTGGTTATTGTCTGTCTCCCTTGATAGGCTGTGAGCTGCACCAAGGCCAGGAGGGGCTCCCCTGCTCACAGTGGGGCCCCCTAGTTCTTGGAACTAAGCCTGGCACACAGCAGGTGCTTAATACCTGTTTGTATATGGAGCAGACCTGGGCAAGGGAGGTTGGGGGACAGAGCAGGACTGGGTGGGGCTTGGAGCCAGTTCTGGGCATCTGGGTTGTGGAGTGTGTCAGCCAAAGTAGGGCCTGCCACCTGGGGACATGTGGATTTGTGGGGGGAGGGGGAGAATGGGCAACAGGCATGGGAGGCATGCCCGCTGGCTCCTACCACACCCAGGGTGGGCTGCTAGGGAAACTGGATACCAAGGGGTGGGGCCCTCCTCCTGCCCAATCCAAGATCCTGGTGTCCTGACCTTGTCTCCATCCGGAGCCGAAAGGTCTCCTCGCCCTTTTTGTTTTCTGCAGAGAGAAGGCAGCAGTTTAGAGGTGGGGTAGCCTAGTGATTTAGTGCATGACTTCTGGAGTCAGCTTCCCGGGTTCAAATCCTGGCCCTGCTATGTGACTTTGGCAAGTTGCTTAACTTCTCTGTGCTAAGGTTTCCTCATCTGTAAATGGAGATCATAATATGCTCAACCCAGCAGCGCTGTCGGGAGAATTAAATGAGCTAATATAAGTATTCAACATAGTGTCCGATCAGTGCTTTGCCATTGTCAGTTAGGAAGAAGAAGAGGAGGAGGAGGAAGAACAAAAGCTTTGGCAACCTTTCATCCCTAAGATTTCTGGGACTGGTGAGGTTGGTTCCCCTCCTCCCCAAGTGAGCCCCCAGTAGTAGGGTCCTCTTTCCTCCTTCTCTTAGTTCCAGGCTGGGGAATGAATGCCACAATTTCTGATCATCCCCATGGCCCCCAGTCTGGTCTAGCCGCCATCATCTCCTGCAGGGCCAGTGCAGTCATCTCCTCCCTGGTCTCCAGGCTCCTACCCCCTTCCTCCACAGTGCTCAGAGGGAGCCCGAGCAAACTTTGCTGGGCCATTTCCCTCCTCTGCTCAGAACCCTCTGTAGTGCCCACCTTACTGAGAACAAAAGCCGCCGGGCTCGGTGGCTCAGCCTGTAATCCCACGCCTTTGGGAGGCTGAGGTGAGTGGATTGCCTGAGCCCGCGGGTTCGAGACCCGCCTGGGCAACTTGGCGAGACCTCATCTCTACAATAAATCGAAATGAGCCGGGCATGGTAGCTCGCACCTGTAGTTCCAGCTACTTGGAAGGCTGAGGCGGAAGGATAGCCGGAGTCTAGCAGGTTGAAGCTGCGGTGGCCGGGAGCGGCCACTGCACTCCAGTCTGGGTGACAGAGTGAGACTCCAACTCAAAAAAAAAAAAAAAAAAAAAAGAGAACAAAAGCCAAAATCCTCATCGTGGCCAACAAGTCCCTATAGCATCTTTCCCCATCACTCCTCTAACTCTCTCTTAAAGCTGTATCCCTCAGTCCTCTGTGGCCACACTGACCTCCTTGCTACTTCTCAAACACAGGGAGCTCATTGCTGTCTCAGGTCCTTTGTACCTGCTGTTCTGTTTGCTTGGAATGTGTTTCCCTCAGAGCCTTCATGGCTCACTCTCTCCCTTCTTTCTTGTCTCAGCTCAAATGGTATCTCCTCAGAGGGCTTCCCCAGATCTCCCCCAAGCCTGCATTTCTCCTCCTCCTCCTCCTCCTCCTCCTTCTCCTCCTCCTTCTTCTTCTTCTTCTTATTATTAGAGTCAGAGTCTCACTCTGTCGCCCAGGCTGGAGAGCAGTGACACACTCACAGCCACTGCAGTCTTGACTTGCTGGGCTCAGACGATCCTTCCACCTCAGCCTTCCAAGTAGCTGGAACTACAGGCGCGCACTACCATGCCCAGCTAATTTTGTTATTTATTGTAGAAACGAGGTCTCGTCAATTTGCCCAGGCTGGTCTCGAAACCCTGGGCTCAGGCAATCTTCTCACCTCAGCCTCCCGAAGTGCTGGGATTACAGGCTGAGCCACCACGCCCAGCCTATATTTTTATTTTCTATTAAACTTTTTTTTTGTAGAGATGGAGTCTTGCTATATTGCCCAGGCTGGTCTCGAACTCTTAGCCTCAAATGATCATCCCACATCAGCCTTCCAAAGTGCTGGGATTACAGGCGTGGACCACCAAAACTAGCCTATATTTTTATAGTATAGATTTAGGTTATAAATAAATAATAGTATGAGTATAATGTATCACAATTCATATATTTATTGTGTGTCTCCCTCACTAAATGTGACTTCTAGGAGAAGCAACAGTATTTTTCTTGTTCTTGTCTAAGTTCCTGGGGCCAAGAAATGATCAGGAATGCAGTAAATGCTCACTAAATGTTTGTTGAATGACTTTATGAGGCAGCACATGTGTTTAATGAATGATAATCAAAATAAAATAATAAAGGATTGTTGGCTGGGCGTGGTAGCACGCGCCTGTATTTCCGGCTACTCGGAAGACTGAGGCAGAAGGATCACCAGAGCCCAGCAGGTCGAGGCTGCGGTGGCCGGGAGCGTGCCACTGCACTCCAGTCTGGGCGACAGAGTGAGACTCCAACTCAAAAAAATAAAATAAAATAAAAATAAAGAAGGATTAGGCATCCATAGGTCCAAGCTCACCTTCTGGGACGCTTTCCAGAGTCACATTCAGGTGGTACAGGTGGCAGGTGTCCTCCCAGGACTCTGGGGACCTGTGGTACATGGTCAGGATCTGCCAGAACAGGGAAGGGGGATGTCAGAGTCCATCCTCACCCACACCCTTTCCCCTGCATCCCGGTCCTTGACTGCCTTGTCTTTGGCCATGTGGGGAATTCACTGGATGATATGCTCCCCTCAATTCCTAGTGGCAGCAGCCAGAACAGTCTCCAGAGTCCAGACCAGCAGTGTGATAGCACTTTCTAGAGTGATGAAAATGGTCTCTACCTGCATTGTCCAATATGGTGGCCACCAGCTGGTCTCTACCTGTGTTTTCCAGTATAGCTGCCACCAACTGGTCTTTATTATCTGTGTTGTCCAATATGGTAACCACCACCTGGTCACTAGCTGCATGTGGCTATTGAATTCTTGAAGGGTGACTAATTTGATTGAGAAATTGAATTTTGAATTGAATTGAATTTTAACTCACTTAATTTTAAATTTCACTGAGGCTTAAGGAAGAGTGTGACTTGCCCAAGGTCTCACAGTACAGGAAGAGATTCAACTGTGACTCCATTGTCTGGAACATGGTAACGGGTCGCCTTCTGGTGAACAAGCGGCTGCCCTTCTGGGCCATTGGGCATGGGGCTGGAGGATGCCATGGAGCCACTGGCTCAGATTTTGGGGGAAGGGTGGAGTTATCCTCAGGGGCCTCTGAGGCAGTCTGGAGGGAGAGTTTTTCTTGGGGAGATGAGGAGGGAGACACCCCCTAGGGGATTCAGCATGGGAGGGGCAGAAGGATTCAGCACCCCCTGGCTCTACCTCCTCTGACTCTTGATCTGGAATGCGTGATGACTATCCTGAGCCCCCGTTTTCCCACATGTTGAATGAAGCCCATACCCTTACCAACTTCCCAGGGTGGCTTTGGGGTGTCCCAGCAAGGAATAGTGCCCAAATGACAGCTAAAGGTCTTACTGATTTTGATCATGTTTTGGAGTCTAGGACTTGCCTCTAATCCCACCAAGTAGGGGAACCCTGAGCTCCAGTTAGAATCCAAGGGCAGATGCTCTGGCCTGAATGTTTTCCCCCAAACTCATATGTTGAACCCTAATCACTAATGAGATGGTGTCAGGAGGTGGGGCTTTTGGGAGATGATTAGGTCTTGGGCATGGGGCCCTTGTAGAGGGGATTAGGGCCCTTCCCCAAGCGACCCCAGAGAGCTCCCTCACCCCTTCCATGACATGAGGACACAGCAAGAAGGCGCTGTCTGTGAGCCAGAAAGAGGGCCCTCACCAGACACCAAATCTGCTGGTCCCTTGGCCTTGGACCTGCCCTCCTCCAGAGCGGTAAGAAATACATTCCTGTGGTGTACAAGCCACCCAGTTTATTGCATTTTGTTAGAGCAGCCACATGGACTAAGACAGTGGAATACTAGACCTACCGAGATGGTGCCTCTCCCGCTGCCGCTGGCTCTGATCTCTAGGTCATCCTGGGCAAAAAACTGAAGAGGAGGGAGAGGCAGGTTTAAAGGTGGCAGAAGCAGCAAAGTGAGGGTGAAGTGCATTGGGAGTGGGGGGAGGCATTGCAGCCTCTGTCACCTCTCTGGCTTAGGAACTGGTGATTCATTTTCCAACACCCTCCATGAAGACGTGTTTTACTTATTTTTCTTTTTATTTGTGTAGAGATGGGGGTCTCATTATGTTGCCTAAACTGGTCTCAAACTTCTGGCTTCTAGTGATCCTCCTGCCTCAGTCTCCCAAAGTGCTAGGATTACATGTGTGAGCTACTACACCCCACCTTACTTTTCCTTCTTTTTCTTTTCTTTCTTTTTTTCCCGGAGTTGGGGGTCTCTAACTCACCCAGGCTGGAATGAAGTGATGTAATCATAGTTTATGACAGCCTTGACCTCCTGGGCTCAGGCAATCCTTCTGCCTCCCTCTCCTGAGTAGCTGGGACTACAGGTGTGTGCCATCACGCCTGGCTAGTTTTTTTTTATTTTTTATTTTTTTTTTGGTAGAGATGAAGTTTCACTGTGTTGCCCAGGCTGGTCTTGAACCCCTGTGCTCAGGCAATCCTCTCTCTTCCACCTCCCAAAATGCTGGGATTATGGGCATGAACTACTGTGCCCAGCTAGGTTTCCTTCTTGGTAGAGGATGTGCCATGTCTACACTGCCACCCACCAACTAGAACAGCTACCACAGGCTGTGCCTTAACGTGCATTCCTCAAGCCTGTCAGCTTTCCAACATCTCCAAAGTTCCCTGTGCAGGGACCCCCCCACCCTTCTCACCAGCATCTCTATGTCTACTTATAATTCATTCATGTAATTTGTAAGGATCAAATCAGCACACTCAGGATATCCATCATCTTAAGCATCTGTCTTTTCTGTATGTAAAGGCATTCCAATTTTTCTCTTCTAGCTATTTTGAAACATACAATAGATTATTGTAAACTATAATCAGCCTCCTGATCTATCAAGCACTAGGACTTATTATTTTCTACATAACCATATATTTGTACACATTAATCACTTTTTCTTCATCGCCACTTCCCCCCTTCCTTTCCCAGCCTCTTGTTACCACTGATCTAATATATATTTTCATCTGCATGTACCTTTTTTCTTTTTTTTTGAGTCAGGGTCTCACTCTGTTGCCCAGGCTGGAGTGCAGTGGCATAATCACGGCCTGCTGCAGCTTTGACCTCCAGGGCTCAGGTGATCCTTCTACCTCAGTCTCTGAAGTAGCTGGAACTACAGGCATGTGCCACCACACCCAGCTAATTCTTTTGAAAAAAATTATTGTAGAGACAAGGTCTTGCCAAGATTCCCAGGCTGATCTTGAACCCTTGGGCTGAAGGCAATCCTCTTGCCTCAGCCTCCCAATGTGCTGGGATTACAAGCGTGAGCCACTGCACCCAGTCCTTTTTTTTTTTGAGTCAGAATCTCACTCTGTTGCCCAGACTGGAATGCAGTGACATGATCATGGCCCACTGCAGCTTTGACCTCCTGGGCTCAGGTGATCCTTCCACCTCATCCTCCTGAGTAGCTAGGACTACAGATGTGCACCACCACACCTGGTTAATTTTTGGATTTTTTTTTTTTTGCTAGAGATGAAGTAACACGACATTGCCCAGGCTGGTCTTGAATCCCTGGGTTCAAGCAATACTCCTGCCTCAGCCTCCAAGAGTATATTCATTTTAAACATTTTGAACTCAGGAAAAGAGAAAAAATGTATAAAGGGGGAAGTTACTTGGGTGTAGGGATTAAGGTAACCTCCATGACCTTACTCCATGAAGGAGGTATCATTTAAGCTTCAATCTTTTTTTTTTTTTTTTGCTTTGGAGTCTCACTCTGCTGCCCAGGCTGGAGTGCAGTGGCACCTCGACCTGCTGGGCTCAGGTGATCCTTCTGCCTCAGTCTTCCAAGTAGCTGGAACCACAGGCACGCGCCACCATGCCCAGCTAATTTTTTTGATTTATTGTAGAGATGAGGTCTTGCCAAGTTGCCCAGGCTGGTCCCAAACCTGTGGGCTCAGGCAGTCCTCTCACTTCGGCCTCCCAAAGTGCTGGGATTATAGGCATGAACCACCATGCCCGATCTGAACATCTTTTTTTTTTTTTTTTTTTTTTGAGTTGGAGTCTCACTCTGTCACCACGGGATTACAGGCTGAGCCACCGAGCCCGGCTTGAACATCTTTTGATTAAGCACTTACCCAGGCACTGTTCGAGGTGCTGGGAATATGGCTATGAATAAGACAGAAAAAATCCCTGCCCCATGAAATTTTATATTTTGGTGGGGAAAACAAGTAAGAAAGAAATGTGAATAGGTAGAATATTCAGTGTTAATGGTGGCAAATACTATAGAAAAACTTAAATAAAAGGAAGGCGGGTCATCAAGGAGTTGCAGTTTTTTTCTTTTTGAGTCGGGGTCTCTGTCACTCAGGCTGGAGTGCAGTGGCACAATCATGACTACCTCGACCTCCTGGGCTCAGGCGATCCTTCCACCTCAGCCACCTGAGTAGCTGAGGTTATAGGCATGCATCATCACACTCGGCTAAATTTTTGATTATTTGTGGGGACTAGGTCTCACTATGTTGCCCCGGCTGGTCGTGAACTCCTGGGCTCAGGCAATCCTTCCTTCTCAGCCTGCCAAAGTGCTGGGATTATAGGTGTGAGCCACCGTGTCCCAGTGGAGTTTCAGTTTTAGATAGGGTGGGCAAGAAAATCTCATCTTATCAGAAAGAAGGTAACATTTGAGCAGATTCCTTAAGGAGAAGAAGTAGTCAGTCTTGTGGATATCTAGGCAGAAGAAACAGCAGGTGCAAAGGTCCTGAGGCAGAAGTGTTGCAAGCACAAGGAGGTCAGTGTTGTGGGAAGGGAGGGAGAGGCAAATAGGCAAGGCTTTGTGAACCTAGATGGGGACTTCAGATTTTGCCCCAAGTGTGGTGGGGGCCATGGAGAGTCCTGAGCAAAAGACAAACATTATCTTGCTTATACTATATTATTATTTTTATATATAGTATATAAAAATATAGCATATATATTATTATTATATATACTATAAATAGGGTCAGGTGCAGTGGCTCACACCTGTAATCTCAGCATTTTGAGAGACCAAGGTGGGAGGATCACTTGAGGCCAGGAAGTCAAGACCAGCCTAAGCAACACAGGGAGACCTCATCTCTTAAAAAAAAAAAAAAAAGGCTGGGTTCGGTGGCTCAGTCTGTAATCCCAGGACTTTGGAAGGCTGAGACTAGTGGATTGTCTGAGCCTGTGGGTTCAGGACCAGCCCGGGAAACTTGGCGAGACCTCATCTCTGCAAAAAAAAAAAAAAAAAAATTAGCCAGCATGGTAGTGCATGCCTTGTAGTTTCGGTTATTTGGAAGGCTAAGGCAGAAGGATTGCTGGAGCCCAGCAGGTCGACGCTGGGGTGGCCGTGATTTTTCTTCCCTGTCATTTTTTGTTTTGGAGCCAGAGAGTCACTCTGTCACCCATGCTGGAGTGCAGTGGCACACTCATGGCCACCGCAGCCTTGACCTGCTGGGCTCAGGCGGTCCTTCTCACCTCAGAGTGAGACTCCAGCTCAAAAAAAAAAAAAAAAAAGCTAAGCATTGTGTCACGCACCTGTAGTCCCAGATACTTGGGAGGCTGAGGCAGAAAGATCGCCTGAGCCAAGGAAGTAGAGGCTGTGGTGAGCCATGATTGCACCATTGCACTCCAGCCTGGGCGATAGAGTGAGAACCTGACTCAAAGAGAAAGGAAAAAGGGGAAAAAGAAATCTGTTTGTCTGTTTCTTTCTAGGTTGTACGTTTCACGAGGGCAGGGACCACAGATATTTCATAACATACCCCCCAATGACTGGAAAATATTTGTGGAATAGACGAAGCAATGCGTTGACAGCAAAGCCACATTTGTGATGAGGTCATCTTGGGGGGAGAGAGTGGCAGGGACGTGGCTCTTGATCCCAACTCGAATGCCACCCCTGCGTGGACTCCTGTGTGGCCCTCGGCTCCGTACCTTTGCTGAACGCTGCTGGTAGGCATTGCTGTGATCAACGAACCACTCCACGTTCAAGGCTCTCTTGGGGGCGCTGATCTGGACGCGGAGGTCCTGCACGCCTTCGAAGGGCACAGCTTTGCGGAAGCGGGTCAGGGCTTCGAGGGCCACCACCGTGGTCTGGGTGTTGCAGCGGTGCGGGATCAGCACCACCGACAGCGCCCGGGAGCCCACCAGGCACGTCAGCACCACGGCCAGCTCCTTCCGGTCAGCACCGCGGGCAGCGCCCCGACCCTCACCTCCCGGGCCCTCCTCATCACCTGGGTGGACCCGAAGCCTCCTCCCAGCTCGCGCTTTTCCAGGAGCCACTTGGCAATGGCGTGCGTCTCGTTGTAGCGACCCAGCTGCAGCTTCTGCATTAGCGCGTAGGCCGTCGCCTCAATGGTGTACAGGGAGCCCAGGCTCTGCTCGTCCACTTGCCAGTGGGTTTTGTCTAGAAAGAGAGACGCCGCTTTGTCACCCAGAGTTGGGCCCACCCAACTCAACTCATCGTCTCCTCGTGCCGTCTGCCCCACTTTTTCTTGCCTGTCATTTTTTTTTTTGAGCCAGAATGTCACTCTGTCACCCAGGCTGGAGTGCAGTGGCACACTCATGGCCACCGCAGCCTCGACCTGCTGGGCTCAGGCGGTCCTTCCACCTCAGCCTTTCAAGTAGTTGGGACCACAGACATGTGCCACTATGCACGACTATTTATTTATTGTAGAGATGAGGTCTCGCCATGTTGCTCAGGTGGGTCTTGAACTTCCGAACTCAGGCAGTCCTCTCACCTCGGCCTCCCAAAGTGCTGGGATGACGGGTGTGAGCCACTGCACCCGGTTCGCCTGCCATTTTATTGATCATCTACTTTACATGAAGCTCTTTGCTGAGGCAACATGTGGACATTGTGTTTTCAGAAACACCCTGTCTTCTTGTGTTCTTATTTAGAAAGAAAAAAAAAAAAGCCCCAAAACCAAAAAAACAAAACAGAACCACCCAGTAAGACAGGACTTTAACTATTTGGAAATGGAGAAATTGAGACCCAGAAAATGTCCAGGCCAGGTGTAGTGGTGCACGCCTGTCATCCCAGCACTTTGGGAGGCGGAGGCGGGAAGATCGCTTGAGCCCAGAAGTTCAAGACCAGCCTGGGCTACATAGCAAGACCTTGTTTCTACAAAAAATAAAAAAAATTGGCCAGGTGCAGTGGCTCAGCCTGTAATCCCAGCACTTTGGGAGATGGAGGCGAGAAAATTGCCTAAGCCCAGAGGTTCGAGACCAGCCTGGGTAAGTTGGTGAGCCCACATCTCTACAATAAATCACAAAAGTTAGCTGGATGTGGTGCGTGCATTTGTGGTTTCAGCTACGTGGAAGGCTGAGGAGGAAGAATCGCCTAAGCCCAGCAGGCAGAGTCTTCGGTGGCCATGAATGTGCCACTGCACCCCATCCTGAGACTCCAACTCAAAAAAAATTTAACTGGGTGTGGTGGCATGCACCTGTAGTCCCAGATACTCAGGAGGCTAAGGTGGAAGGATCGCCTGAGCCCAGGAGGTTGAGGCTGCAGTAGCCATGAGCATGGCACTGCACTTCAGCCTGGGTAACAGAGGGAGACCCCAACTAAAAAAAAAAAAGAAAGAAAAAGAAAACTCCAGGTCCCTCCAGGGCCCTCTAGTCCCACTGCAAGCTAGTTTTCCTGCTTCCACTTTCCTTGACTTGGGTAATGGGGAAGATATGGACCCTTGGGAAATGGGTCCTTCTCCCCACCTTCTCTCCACCTTGACCACCATGCCTTCTTTCCCACTTCAGGGTGTTTGCACAGGCTGTTCCCTTTGCTTGGAATGTCCGTGGCCTTTTTTGTTCGTTTGTTGTTTGAAATTAAAGACAGGGTCTTCTTCTGTTGCCCAGGCTGGAGTGCAGTGGTGTGATCATAGCTCACTGCAGTCTCGAACTCCTGGGCTCAAGCAGTTCTCCCAAATCAGCCTCTTGAGTAGCTGGGACAACAGGCTCAAGTCATCACACCTGGCTAATTTAAACAACAACAAAAATTTTTGGGGGGGGGGTTGGAGTCTCACTCCTTCGCCCAGGCGAATGCAGTGGCATGCATGCTCATGGTCACTCCAGCATCAACTTTCTGGGCTCCAGTAAAACTTCTGCCTCAGCCTTCCAAGTAGCCAGAACTACAGATGTGTGCTACCACACCCAGCTATTTTTTATTTTATTGTAGAGACAAGGTCTCACCAAGTTGCCTGGGCTGGTCTCGAACCCACGGGCTCAGGCAATCCACTCACCTCAGCCTCCCAAAGTGCTGGGATTACAGGCTGAGTCACCAAGCCCTGCCTAAACAAATTTTTTAGTTGGGATCTCTGTCACCCAGGCTGGAGTGCAGTGGCACGATCACGACTCACTGCAGCCTCGATCTCCTGGGCTCAAGTGATCCTCCCATCTCAGCCTCCCTAGTGGACGAGGTTTTGCTATGCGCAAGCAGTCCTCCTGCCTCGGCCTCCCAAAGTGCCGGGATTACAAGCATAAGCTTCTGCACCTGGCCGATTTTTTTTTTTTTAAGAGACAACTGTGAAGCCGGGCTCGGTGGCTCAGCCTGTAATCCCGCGCCTTTGGGAGGCTGAGGTGAGTGGATTGCCTGAGCCCGTGGGTTCGAGACCCGCCTGGGCAGCGAGACCTCATCTCTACAATAAATCAAAAAATCAGCCGGGCGTGGTAGTGCATGCCTGTAATTCCAGCTCCTTGGAAAGCTGAGGCGGAAGGATCGCCGGAGCCCAGCAGGTCGAGGCTGCGGTGGCCGGGAGCGGCCACTGCACTCCAGTCTGGGCGACAGAGTGAGACTCCAATTCAAAAAAAAAAAAAGAGACAACTGTGTTGTCCAGGCTGGTCTCGAACTCCTGGACTTAAGCATCCTCCCACCTCAGCTTCCTGAGTATCTGGGATCATGGACTCAAGCCAGCATGCCCAGCAGCTGAACCTTCTCTTTCATTCCGGTCCCCCAGTCTATACTACCCTCTTCATCTCTCCCACCCACTTAGAATGATGTCATTTCAGGGCTGATCTCAATCTGGAAATATATTTGGATCTGTCTTCTGCCTGCCTCCCCCAAGGATGGTGGCCCCTTGGGGACAGGGAGCCTGCCAGCCTGGCTCACCTTGGTCTTCCATGGTCTGAGCCCAAAGGTGGACACATAGTAGATGCTCAGTAAATACTAAGTGAGAAGTCACACATCGCTGGTTTGGAGGCCATGCTTCCCCCACCCCACGAGTGTAGTAAATGCCCAGTTGGCTGGGAAGGGCCCCGCACTCACTATGGCTTGCAAAATGGTCCAGGCGGTCATTGGCTTTGGGGCTGTTGGCCAGAGCCAGCGCGTAGGAGACAATAGCTATGGCAAAGACTGTCTGGATTTGGGGGAGCTCTGTCTCCAGGAAGCCCCGGGCTCGCTCGATGCTGGCGGTCAGATTCTACAGAGTCGGGGTGGGGAGAGGTCAGAGGGAGGTGATCAGAAGAAAGAGACCTGGGAGTTTGGAGAGAGGGACCCAGAAGGGCGTGAGGGAGGGGAACTCCCTGGGTGCAGGGCCAGAGCACCCTGCAGATCCTGCCCTCTGCTCTGGGGTCCTACCGATTTCTTCTGGTTGCACAATTCCTTTCCCTCATCCAGGGCAATCAGGACAAGAGCCGTGAGGGACACGTCTGCCTCAGCACCTTGGTAGCCACCCTGTGCACACAGAGCCACACCCTTGATCCCTCGGCCTCTGGGGCACCTCCCCCAACCCCTTCCGCCTGACCTTGAGAAGCTCCTGGGTGTCCAGCTCTGGGTTGAAGGGCGCTGGGGTGGAGGAGGGATGAGGAGAGAGAAGGGGGGTCATCTTGAGGTTTTCATTTTTGGGGTCTGCTCTGCTAATAAGAGCTGTCAGCCTAGGGGCTGAGCCCTGCACACCAATCAGGGCATCCTGGCAGTGGCTCCATTTCACCAACGAGGAAACTGAAGGCCAGAGAGGCAATGTCTCCTGTCACTAGTAAATGACCATTCAGTGGCTGGAGTACAGCAATAAGATCATAGCCTTGAATTCCTGGGCTCAAGCGATCCTCCCACCTCGGCCTCCCAAAGTACTGGGATTACAGGTATGACCCATGGTGCCTGGCCTGTAAATGTTTTGTTTACAGCAGTGTCTCCTTCCTGCCCAGCACAAAATCTGGTACTAGATAAGGCAGTTACAGGACAAATGTTTGTTGAATGGATAAATGAATGAGCCAATGAATAAGTGAATGAATAATGTGATGGGTGCAATGATAGAGACAGGCACAGGACTGGTATTCAGGGGAACCTTCCTGGAGGAGGTGGTCTCTGAGCGAAATCCTAAAACAAAACTTCATTTGGTCAGATGCCTGCAGGGAGGGCGGCGAAAGCAAAGACCCAGAGGTGAGTCTGAGGGCCCCATGAGCACTTAAATGTGAACTGTGAGCAGGGAGTGGTGAGCAGTGAGGTCCGGCAGGGGGTGCAGACAGAGGCAGTTGTGAGCCACAGAAGGTGTTTGAGCAGGGGAGGGACCTGCCAAGCTGTGTGTGAGGGATGTTTATAGAGGCTGGTATGAAGGAGCACTTGGTGGGGGTGGGCATGTTAGCTGGGGGATGGGAGGACTCAGTCCCAGAGGGAGGCAGGCCAGGGCTGGCCGCTGCTTGATGTGGAAAAGAAGAAGAGACAGGGTCCCAGATGTACCCAATCTCACCCACACTCTTTTTCAGGTGTTCCGTTTCAGTGAGAAACGTGTCACTGAAACCGGGTCTTTGAGACCGGGTCTTACTGTCACCCAGGCTGGAGTGCAGCACGCAATCATAGCTCACTGCAGCCTCCACCTCCTGGATTCCAGCGATCCTCCCACCTCAGTCTCCTGAGTAGCTGGGACGATGGGCTCGTCAACGTGCTCAGTTAATATTTTGAGTTTTGGTAGAGATGGGGCCTCACTATGGTGTCTCGAGCTCTTGGCCTCAAGCAATCCTCTCGCCTCGGCCTCCCAAAGTGCTGGGATTGCAGGCATGAGCCACCATGTCCGCCCTCACCCACACGCTCACAGAATGCGGGGTGGTTCGGATGAGGGGGTGTGGCCCTTGGTGCTGAGTTTGCTCTTCCCTGTTCTCTTTCTACTCGAGCACAGACCAGGAGCCTGAAAGCCCCTCTTGGCAAGCAGAGCCCTGGAATGTGTTTGAATGGCCCTGGCAGGGAGGCAGCGGGCACCTGCATGGACGTCATGACCACTGGGCCCTCCTCCAGGAAGTGCCCGTCCTCCGCCTGCCTCTGGGTGATGACCCAGTCGGCGAGGGCGCAGATGGTCGGCAAGTCCAGCACGCTGGCCGTCATCGTGGGGTAGGCCAGGGCGAAGACCCGGAACACGTAGCTCGTGAGCCTGTCAGGAGAGAGGGAGGGTGACCACCAGGAACAGCTGCCAAGGGGATTCTGGGACGGGGGTGTCTACATTCTGGGGAGTCTACACCGTGGGCTGTACTGTCCTAGACACACCCCTACTCCCTAGGAATGTTGGACACCCCAAGATTCCAGGACCCTGCAGTGTGGCTGCTCCTGGGTCATCAAGCCCCAGGCTGGCCCCTCGGGCTTCCAGGTGGCAAGAGAGACAGGGTCAACTCACCAGGTGCTCCCTGGGCTGCTGTGGGAGGTGTGATAGGTGCCATCTGGCCTCCGGTGGGAGAGCATCCGGGTGTAGCCTGGGGGAACAGACAGGGCGGGGCTTGCAGGGACCGTCAGTGTGTGGGCGTGGTCAGTTATAGGAGCAGCAGGGTGGGGCAGAGCCTGGGGATCACAACTGGGAGGGGAGACCTATTGTCTAGGTTCACAGAGGAAGGGGCTTCAGGCCCAGGTGTCAAAGAGGGCCAGGGCCCAGGTATGACTGTGGGGGAACCCGGTGCAGTTTTTTTTTTTTGAATCAGGGTCTCTCCCTGTGGCCCAGGCTGGAGTGCAGTGGCACGATCCTGGCTCACCACAGCCTCAACCTGCTGGGCTCAGGCAATCCTTCCACCTCAGCCTCCCGAGTAGCTGGGACTACAGGTGTGTGCCACCATGCCTGGGTAATGTTTTACATTTCTTGTAGAGATGAGGTCTTGCTAGGTTGCCCAGGCTGGTCTCAAATGCCTGGACTTGAGCAATCCTCTAGCCTCCACTTCTCAAAAAGTCAGGTATGAGACACCACACCTGGCTAGTTGTCTGTGTCTGAGAGTAACTGGGGAACTGCTACCTTGGGAGACTCTGGGGATGGTGTGCCCAGGAGTTGCTACTTGCAGAGGTCATGGAAAGTGCTGCTCGGGTGTAGTGGGAGAGGAAGCCACCAGAGGACTCTGCCTGGGAGTTTTCCTATGGGCTGTTTCTTAGATGCAAACCTGGAGCGTCAGCTTGTGTGTTGCCCAGGGGAGGTTGCTTCTGGGATTTACCTTGGGTGGGTGCCTTCCAGGTGTATTTGGAGAGTTTTGACTTGGGTATTACCTAAAGGTTCCCTGGAGGTTTACCATCTGGGTGTGGTGTTGGGGGTGACAGTGACTGTCACTGTGGGCGGGGGGTGGGTTATTGCTTAAGAGAACCTGGATGAGCCAGGCTCGGTGGCTCAGCCTGTAATCCCGTGCCTTTGGGAGGCTGAGGTGAGTGGATTGCCTGAGCCCGCGGGTTCGAGACCCGCCTGGGCAGCGAGACCTCATCTCTACGATAAATCAAAAAATCAGCTGGGTGTGGTAGCGCATGCCTGTAATTCTGGCTACATGGAAGGCTGAGGCGGAAGGATCACCGGAGCCCAGCAGGTCGAGACTGTGGTGGCTGGAAGCGGCCACTGCACTCCAGTCTGGGCGACAGAGTGAGACTCCAACTCAAAAAAAAAAAAAAAAAACGAGAACCTGGATGGAAAGTTGGAGACTGAGGGAAACCTGGGAAATGGGTTTCAAATTTTTGTAGACACAGGATCTCACTATGTTGCCCAGGCTGGTCTTGAATTCCTGGGTTCAAGTGATCCTCCCTCCTCAGCCTCCCAAGTAGCTGGGACTACAGTCACGTGCAACCATGCCTGGCCAATTTTTAAATTTTCTGTAGAGACAAGGTCTCACTATGTTGCCCAGGCTGGTCTCAAACTCCTGGGCCCAAGCTATCCTCCCGCCTTGACCTCCCAAAGGGCTGAGATTACAGGCGTGAGCCACTGCGCCTGGTTGGGTTAATTTTTTATATATTTTGTAGAGACAGGGGTCTCATTATCCTGCCCCAAATTAACTTGGGGTCTCTGTCTAGGTGTGTCTGGTTGTTACCTGGGGCAGAGTTTGGTTATAACCTGAAGAGGTGTCAGCATTCAGATGTCCCAGGAGGCCGCACTCTGGGACTTTGCTGCTTGAGTGTTCCCTGAGGGTGTCACTGAGGGGACATAACCTGGGGCAATGTCTGGGTGTAACATTCTCTGGGAGGGAGGCTGCTTGGGGACACCGGGGAGCCCGGGAGATGGGTCAGGGTGCTGGGGCCATCTGGGGGGTGTCACTGATTGGGAGTCATCTGGGGGAACTGGCTTCAGGTTGTAGCCTGGGGGGCAGAGTTTGGGCATTCTCCTTCGGCAACCCAGCCCTGGGGCTGGCCCAGCCCCCCTCCCGAGAGCCCCAGGAGGGGCCCCACTCTCACCTCTAATGATATTCTTCATCACCTGGTCCCTGTGTTCCACCCCGACCTTGTCCCACTGGCCGGTGGCATCTAAGAAGCGGGTCAGGATGACAACGGGTGCCAGGGAGCTCAGTGTCTGCTCAGCACAGCCCGTGGGGATCCTTAGCAGTCGCTGTGTCTCTCCAGGTGTCAGGCTGCCCAGGATGGTCTCGCCGAGGATGTCGCCTGTCGGATGGGCGAGCTGGGTCACCCAGGGAAGGGGCCTAAGCTGCCAGGGCTCCCTGATCACCCCACCTAGCCACCCCAGACCCTCCCTGCCTCCCACCCTCCCCAGCACCTTGGACGCTGATGAAGACTTCCGCCTGCGTGTCAGGCACCATGTTCAGAAAATCCTTTCTTGGCACCAGCTCCGTCTGGGTCTGACCTGAGCAACCACAGCCTCTGTGACAAGCGGGCTCTGGGACTGGGGATGTCGGGGCGTGTAGAGCCCAGGAGGGGCTCAGGCCAGCCCCTGGCCAGACCCTCTCCTCCCTCCTTAGCATGGTCCCAGGGTCCCACATGCCCTCTCAGCCCCCTACAAACCTTGGGGGTTCAGGAGGATGCTATGGGACATTATCTGTATCTGGCCCTCTACCTGAGGGACAAGATGAGAATACAGGTTAAAAAAGACAATGACAATAATCATAATGGCAGTAAAATAAAAGTATTGCTTAGCTGTGGAAAGCACAGGCTCTGGATCCAAATATCTGGGTTTGAATCCCAGCTCCTCTGCTTCTGGCTGTGTGTTCTTGCGGAAATTACTTAACCTTTCTGTGCCTCAGTTTTCTCATTTATGGAAGGTGGATAATAATAGTTCCTACTTCATAGGGTTGTTCTGAGGGCTCAATGAGTTAATATTCTTTTTTAGGCCAGGTTCAGTGGCTCAGCCTGTAATCCCAGCACTTTGGGAGACGGAGGCAAGTGGATTGCCTAAGCCTGTGGATTTGATACCCACCCGGGCAACTTGGCGAGCCCTCGTCTTTACAATACATCAAAAATTAGCCGGGCATGGTAGCATGCGCCTGTAGTTCCAGCTACTTGGAAGGCTGAGGCAGAAGAATCACTGGAGCTCAGCAGGTCGAGGTTGGGGTGGCTGTGAGTATGCCACTGCATCCTAGCCTGGGCAATGGAGTGAGACTCCAACTCAAAAAAAAATTCTTTTTAAAAAAATAAAATAAGCCGGGCTCGGTGGCTCAGCCTGTAATCCCGCGCCTTTGGGA